TTAGTAGTGTTGCCGTAAGCAAAGAAAAAACAAGCAGTATTTTTACCCTAAAATAAGGCTTACAGTACATTGGTACATCAATTTTTTTGGTCTTTACTATACGCGCAAAACAGTTTCTTGAAATGGGAAATTACAAAATGATGGTTACACGAAGAAAACAATTTAAAAAAGGAAGCTTATTAATTCTTTCACTACCACGCTCATAGATAAAAAGTTTCCTAGTGCCAGGTTTATTTTTAGATACGCATTAAAAAAAATAATATTTTATTACATATCCTGAACTTGAAACTAATAAACTCTGGGAAGTTTGAAGGGAAATACTCTTTCTTCATGTTTAGTGCGAAACTCCAAACTTTCATTGCAGTGATCTCGAGTCTTGAAGAGGAGGTACGTGATTGCCTAAGGAGACGTATCTTGAAAGATGGTCTAAAGCATTAGGCTTTGGTTATCAGCTTTTCTTACTACTTAGTTTATTACCATACATATTGATGTTGATAATGAGCAATAAAGGCGAGTCTTCAACTATTTAAGAAGACATTTGTATTAATAAAATCAACTGTGATCAATGGACTGTACTTTCAGCATATTTTACGATCAATTTCGTTGACACAACTTATGGAATGGACTGTACTCTCAGCATATTTTACGATCAATTTCGTTGAGAGTACAGTCCATTCCATAAGTTGTGTCAGCGAAATTGATCGTAAAATATGCTGAGAGTACAGTCCATTCCATAAGTTGTGTCAGCGAAATTGATCGTAAAATATGCTGAGAGTACAGTCCATTCCATAAGTTGTGTCATAAGTTGTGCCAGCGAAATTGATCGTAAAATCTGCTGGAATGGACTGTACTCTCAGCAGATTTTACGAACAATTTCGCTGACACAACTTATGGAATGGACTGTACTCTCAACAGATTTTACGATCGATGCGGACTCATTTTGAAGAGGGGGTGATGCCTTATGACTTCAAACTGGTTTTTACACACGTCCCCTGCGGTGGCACACACGCCCTTCAGGATAAATTGCGTTTCATAGAAACTTCATAATGCTGTGGGTTAACTTTTCTTTTTTTCCACTTCGACCTCGAGATCTGTGTAAAAAGAAGTTTGAGGTACTTCACCGCTAGGAGCCGCTGTCAGAGTGCATCGATCCCTTTACGTTCAAAAACAATATTAATTTTGAATTATGTCAATCATTTAAACAATTGCGAAACTCGATGATATATGTTTTCTTATGAACTACTGTGGTATTCAGGCTTACTAATAACCGATATGTAAGTCCTAAAATATCTGCAAAAGGTAGATTCCGAAAATGTCATATAGAGGATAAAGCAAACACGGACATCAAAGTAAAGAAACGCACTCATAAGTGAATACAAGTTATAAAAAGACTATCCGCGGTAATTGTGTAAGTCTTAACATTTACTGGCTGGTTTACTGCTTTCCTTTGACTCTTACTGGCTTCTAGAGTGAGAGGCTTTCTGTACACGTTCACACAGGAAAAGATAATTCTATATATGTTCACACAGGGAAAGGATGCATATAAATCTGAATTACTGCCCAAATGCAGAGAAAAAAACCTATAAAATAACTCAGCGCTTCATACATCACTGATTATTCCGAATAATATTTAGAAGAAGAAAAGCACCTAACTCATATTAATTTGTACAAGAATCTGCGCCAACCTTTGAAATGGAAGCTCGCCTCCTCACTTGAAAGACTGATTTTAAAATTGTATGAATTTCTGTAATCAATTCAGTTCTATCAATTCTAGTAATAGTCAATGCCCTCTCTTTAGGAGGTATTACAAGGTAGGGATCACTTCGGATATTCTAGGTATTACAAGGTAGGGATCACTTCGGATATTCTAGGTATTACAAAATAGGGATCACTTCGGATATTCTAGGTATTACAAGGTAGGGATCACTTCGGATATTCTAGGTATTACAAGGTAGGGATCACTTCGGATATTCTAGGTATTACAAAGTAGGGATCACTTCGGATATTCTAGGTATTACAAGGTAGGGATCACTTCGGATATTCTGAGAAATATATCTTTTATTGCTTATATTTCCATTTTTAATCATTCAGATAGAAGGAGTACCTAATTTTCAACTGAGCTTTTTCTCAGTTATAGTAGCGGTATGTCTGCGGACTTACAATGCTAGAAACCAGGTGGTGGACAGAGCACAGATAGCCCAATGTGTAGCTTTGTGCTTACACTCCAAACAAACAAACAGTTAAAGTTACCCGTAAAGTTTTATTCTAATTTTTAGTTGTTATAATAACAAAATTAAAAGCAACGAAAATGTTACTTTTCTTCGCCTTTAAGAGATAATTACAAAAAATGTCCCAAACAATAACACAAGTATTTTTTTATTTTGAGGCAATTGACTAGCCTGATAAACTAATGCTAATTCCATGTCAATAATTCTGACACATCGCTAGTTTCACAACCTCTGATTTGAGCAGCATATACCATTATATACATAACACGGTTATTTAGTAGATTTCATGGTTCGCAAAAATCGGTCTCCGCAGTTCGTTCCATGGGTGCACTATAAGAGTGACAGTCAATTCTTACTTTTCGGTCAG